TCAGGCCTCATGCTTTTTTGGTTGAAAATGTAAATCCCAACTATCTAACCACATTCTATTTTTTATGCCTGCTGGATCTAACCCGGGAGTACCATAAGTAAGAGGTAAGAAATAATAACAGACACATCCAGATATAATTAAAATTATAATACAAGTGATTACTGATACATCTTTAACAACAGCACGTGATGCAAGTCCAGTTCGAAGAGTCTTGTCTGGCCCAGCAATTGAAATTGGAGAATTTACAGAATCTGTAAACATAAAGTTAAAAACTGTTGCTGTCACTAGATAACTACAGATCACTGCGGGAAGATAATGATGAAGAAACAGCGATCGACCCATTAAGTAAAATGGCGCATAATGTAAAAACCAAGCAGTTAAAAAGAATAGACCGGAGTTATATAAACGTTTACGAACAGCTAAAAATAATAAGATAAAGTGAGAAAAAAAGAAAGATAAAAACATAGCCAATTATTAGACGACAACTTACTTTCAGAGATAGGATTAATACCACGTTGTCTAGAGATAAGATCTGCGGATACAACACCAACCAGGACGGCCATAGCGCCAACCGATAACCACCAGTTAAAAGGATTACCTAACAAATATATTTGTTGTCTTTCATCATTTTTAGTCCAAAAAGAAATACCGCGTACTAAAAATGGCCAATTTATCGGTCCGGAGGAATAAGGATGTGGCTTCGTCAACCCTGAATTATGACTGAGCATAAGATTTTGCAGTTCAAGAAATTTTGCCAAAAATGAAATACGTCTTTTTGGTGGTTCAGGAACTTCAGGAACCGATGGCTTTGTTACTAAAATTTAAATAAAATAAATGCAATTAATAATATACACGTAACAGGAAATAAGAGTTATATATAAGCAAAGACGCCAACCATTCTTTCCAACAATTTGATCCGCGAACCAAATGTTGCTCTTATCAAGATTATTTTTGTTTCCATTGATTTCTTGTTGTTTGAAGGCCCACTCTGGTAGCAATTTATCATGCGTCCACATCGCTACTTTTGTATCAAAATGAACTAATCGTATATAACTAGCCTTGGTTTTCCATATTGTGTCTGAATCGCCATCATCTATTAAAACCTGAAAAACGGTCTCATTATAACGGGATTCATCATCCACTGATATGGTTGTAAATTCTTGGTTGGTTGGCATCGTGGGCGAGGCTACATCATGAGTGAGGAGATGCGACCCGGTATTAATGTGTTCAAGTAATATATAATCGCCATGTTTTACAAAATCATCCACCGGTCTTGATGAATCCATAAAAATTTTTGCAGGTTTAATTCGCCAATAATTATTGGCATCTTCGAACTTATAACCAGTAACTTGTTGTCCTGTAAAATAATGTATTTATTGAATAAATTTTTTATTTTTTAACAAACACTAAAATAATTATCATCCAAACATAAATAACAGTATTACCTTGACTACTAATACGCCCATCGGGATATCGAAGGGGATAGAGATCAGGATGAGAATGTAAAAAGACCGAAGTACCTTTATGCTTTAAAGTAATCGTATCATTAAATCTTATTTCTGAAACGATAATATTTCAGGATGTGAGATCTATAAGTTTATAAGCAAAAAAAAAATATTTACTATTTAAGCGTGAATGACTTTACCAAGGCTTTCAAGTGTCATTACATTTCCTTGTAGTGTCTCTTGGAACGCTGGACTCATAAATGAATCGCCAGGACCACTTATGGTCAATATGGAAAAATGAACGTAAAACCAAAACAAATAGACCGAAATTGGCACAATTATTAAACCAAAAACACGTGCATAGAAATGCTTTTTGAAATGTTCCTACAATAAATAAAAATATACATCAGATAATGAAATAACAATGATTTTATGACTACCAGACAAATAAAGGTTTTTATTTTAGATAACGCGTACCATTGTTAGTCCACGTTTTATATCCAACAGATTCCACAAGTCGGTTATAACCGCAGCTCCGATGGTGAGAACGGAAAACAAACCGACCAATTTTACGCTTTAAATTGGTTAAATTTATGTAAACTATATATTTACGATGTAATATTTTACAAATGCGTACGACTTATTTACCTTAATGTTAAACCAAGAGTGATACCGGATGCGATCAACCAAAACCACCATTCATTCGAAAATTCTCTAATATTAATCAATTAGACACGCACTTAAGTAATAATAATGATGATGAATAACAATAAAAGCACTAACGCTAAAATTACACATAGGATATTTTCCTATTAACATACTTTAAGCGATATTTATAAAATCGAATATAGCAATAAAAAGTGCAAAGCATGAAAAAAACTAGCATCGAGTCGAGAAGAATCAATCGCGTTTGACAAATCAAAGCGTTATCTTTTGAATAAATAATGATGAGTGCAAAGTTTTAAACAGAATTGAAGATAAAAAATATAAAAATTTTTACTTACCAAACAACACTAAGCCAGCAGCTAGAATCGCAGTTATTACTGGATACCCAGATTCCATCATTATCATGTATGTTAGAGGAACAAGGAGTGCACCCAACATGGCGGGCAACGATCTAAGTCCAATATAGGGAACATTATTTGTTATATAATCGTCTCCAATAGTATCAAATTCAAAATGACCGTCATAACCCAATAACCAGCCGGTTGCCGCAAGCATGAGTTTCGCAAGAGGAGGGTGGACATCAAAAAAGTAACTTCGTTTTATATAATAGCTTGCAAATTTACCAAAATGAACTTCGTCAAAGCTTTTTAGGTTAATTAGGTTAATTAATTATTTATTTAAAAGAAATGATTGAATTTGAAATTAAATTTATCCAAAACCTTACACGACTTGATGTGGGTGGTCTATCTTCCAAAAACGGGTTATGATTGACATGATTGTGAGAATTGCCAAAGCACTATTCGAAACAATTTTCTTTTTTTTTCCATCTCTTTTTGTAAATTGTGCTATCTAAAAAAATTTGTAAGTCTCTATTTCATTTTTCAAAAAGAATATGTGAGGTTAATCAACAGTAAAAAAGAAAAATTACATTTTTCTTGTCGTCTAAGATTTGCACATTTGGAAAAGTTGGAGGTTCCGTAATCTGTATGCCATGTCTTTGGCGGACTTGGTGATCCGTCATTGCGGAATTTGTGTAATGGTAAAATTTAGTTCAAGCAAACTGAAAATAGAGAAATACCTTTCGATCAAAATTAAAAATTCCTTTGGGTTCGTTTCGAAGAAAATCGATTATTTGTATGCATCATAACTGAACGTGGTAGTTGTTTATTGGCAGTGGTGTTCAAAATGACACAATTCTGATTTGGTTAGAATTTCATAAAGTCAACCGGCGTTACGAATGCAGGTCCAAAATCTAAGCTACGTATAAAATCTGGTTTGTGGTCATATTAGTAAATTTTATAAGTCATAACGATAACAGGTCATAAGGTCATAACTTATAATTGGCCAATAGGTCATAGGCCAACACTGCCTCTGATCGATGATACATCGGGGCTTTAAAATTATATTACTGTATTACTAATATATATTTTTCAGAGAATTTTAAATTCCGATGTATCATCGTTCAGAGAGATAAATAATCTATTAGGTAGCTAGAATAAACCTGAATCTCGGGTTATCACCTAATTTCAATAATCACAGTGCTCCAACTGGAAATTTCCGTCCATATGAATAGGTTTATAAACCCATTTTTGAAAAACGTAGAAAAATCATCGCCCCTGATTGGGCTTTTTAAAACTTCAAATAGCTTGCCTTTTATGACGGTGTAACGTTCTTAAAAATTAAAAACTTGTTTAATTTGGAAAAGTCTTTATGACTTTGCCATCATCCATCATCCTTCTAAGAAAAAAAAAAAAAAAAAAAAAAAAAATTGCTCGATTTTGTTTTGTCCGCCACTTGTTTTCTATTCTTTAAACTTTTTCTTTTGTTATTCTATATAGCTGACAAAGAACAATATACCTTTTTTTTTTTTTTCTTTTTTTTTTTCTAATAATGGATACGACGTATACAAATTATAATACAGATGATGTCAACCCTAATCCTAATGAAATTAACCTTCAGTTTAGATATAATGATTTAAACTGCAGTTTACTGCTTATGGATACTTCAAGACAACAAAATGTCAGTGGTAAAAATACTTCTGGAACCGATGGTTATCAATCTATTCCAAGTTTTACATTACCAAACGATATGTTGCCTACGCCCAATGGTTCTGACCATAATGCTTGCTCAGAATCAATCATTATGTCTCCTTATACCATGTTGCCAGAAGGTACTTTTCGTGAAGATGAGGTTGGTAACTTTTTAAATTTTATTCGGCCATTTTAACTTTAATAATTTTTAAAATTCTTGTAATTATTAGTTTTATTTAGAGTCTTATATGCCCGGATATTTATCATCACCTCTAACTTCACCAACCCTACAACCCGATCAATCTATCATAAGACAAAAATCAAACACTACTTACAACCAAATACCTAATAATCAACACTATTCACCATTAAATAAGCAAAAAGCTATAAATAATTCCATGACACAAATACCGGGAAAAAATTCTAGTTCTGATAATAACAACAGCATCGAAAATAGTAATAACACAAAAAACAATGTAAATAAACTTCCAACTATCATGACAGGCTCTCCACCTATGATGCCCAATGTGAGCATGTCTTTAAATGATTTCGCTTCATCGTTATTGTCCACAAATATGCAAGAAACTATGCCAAACTTAAATCTTGGTAGTAATCTTGTATCTGAAGTAACCTCGACACAACCTTCATCTACACATCTTTCAAATGGTTCGTCTTCTTCCTTAAATGGTAACATTGCCCCAATAACACCATCTTCTCTTATGAAATTGAATAAGAAACAATCTAATTCTACACAAGATGATCAAACAATTAACACCCAACAAATACAAATACAAAACCAACAGAATTCTAATAAAGAGACAGAACAACCTACTTTTATAGCGCCAAGATCAAGGGTCGCAGCTTCTGGCTCGCAACGTATGTTGGTAGTATCACCAAATGTGTCACCAATATCACCAGGAATGAATCCTGGGACAATGTCACCAATTATTTTACCATCTTCAGGAAGAAGAATTGTTCAGCCCGTTTGTTCACCATCGGCACTTAATCCTTCAAAAAGTCCTCAAACTTTGAAACCCACAATTAGTCCAAGTCTGAAGCCAAAGTTACCAGGTGTGTTAGTGGATGAAGTGGCAGAAAAATTAGCAAGTCAATCAAATTATAAAAATATTTTAGAGGGAACGTCCAAGTATGTATTATTTTTAACATTTGTCATTAATTTCATATGTCACAAACAATAATTAATTAATTGAAATCTTTATTATTAAATTATGAAAAGATCACTTGGTATATCTTATTCTTCCGATGTACACTCAAGTTTAGAGTCTCGACGTACGACACATAAGGCAGCCGAACAAAAACGTAGAGATTCATTAAAACAAAGCTTTGATGAATTAAAAAAAGTAGTGCCATTACATTCCGTTACAAGCAATAATACTAAAGGAAATAACAACAAAAATAGTAATGGAAATGATCGTAATGTCACTAAAGTCAAAAGTTGTGACAGTAATGGATCATTAAAGAATGTTTCTAAACTACTTTTATTAAAGCGAGGTAAGTTGATTTTATATTCTAGTGAAATGCAATACTCATGTAAATTATTAGTATAGATCAGAGATTTATTAAATAAACAAATATATATATGATAATAGCGCATGATCATATTGTTGAGCTTCATCAACAGACAAAAGAAAAGGACGAGCTTATTCAAAAACTAACGAATGAACTTGATGAACTTAAGGTAGCGAAAAAACAAAAAGTTGAGCATGTTCAGAAAAATGATGATGCGGAAATAATAACAGATGAAAAAATAGATCATTAAAAGAAAAATCTTGTCAATAATTTGGACTTTACTTGATTTATTGATTACATTTCCAGTAATTATTTTTCTGGGTATTTCTTTTCTTCAAGTATGACTATTATTTTATTTTATTCATTATTATCGCCAATACATTGAATTACCCTTATACGAATTTGTTAACTTTTCCTCATTAAATTTTGATAATAGTCTGATCTAAATAAATTTTATAAATTTTGCAATTCAATAGTAGATATTTGAAAAAAAAAAAAAAAGTTAAACTAATAACTTAAGTTTGAAATTACAGAAATATTAAGATCAGTAAATCATTTTGCATGTATGAGTTTTTGAAAGCGATAGGACATGAATTTAATTCAGCGCATTATGGTACTTCGGTACAGTACAGGAATCTAAAAAATTTCAGAATTGGTTTGGGCAACAGTTTTTTAAGAGGGTTTTTATATTGCGCATTGGTCATTACCATCACTAATAACAAATAAATTTATTATAATTTTTTTTTTCAAATATTTTATTTAATAAGTTTAGAAAAATGCAGAAATGTATTAATAATATGTATTATTATTTTTTTTTAAACAAAATATTAGGCCTTATTATATTATTATAGAAGAGATTAAAAATAATTTGTTACAAATCTTTCAAAATTTTACTGTATTTTATTTTAAATGTAACTAAATTATTCATTGGTGCTTGCCGTAAATAAAAATTGTCAAAAATTAAATTATTTCTATTGATATGAGGGAAGTAAAAAAAACCGTGCTTATTGTAATATTGTAAGGATTATCGATTAATTAATTTCACTTTATCAATATCAGTATTTTTATTATGAGCGATATAAAGAAATTAAAGGTTAATTTATTGTTCGTAAATTCTGATATGAATCAAACGAATCAAACAAACAATGATCCACTTGTTATATTTCAGATACAAAGCTCAAGTCAAATATTAATTCAAATCGCTAGGCCCCAGAATAACATCGCAAGTATCATATCAGTTAATAAATCCAAATGGAACTCTGGTGAATTCGAGTTTTTAGCACAGCAAATTATGTTAATGTTTCATTAATATATTGGAATTTTACAATTCATAGAAAGTATTCTTTAGAGAGTAAGAATAATGATAATTATGTTAATATAAAGGTCTTTTTGTTTGCAATAGTTCATGATAATTTCTATTTAATTATAGAATTCAAAATCGTTTAATCACGTAAGTATAACGATCGTTATGATCGTGTTGTCAAAGATATAAAAAGTAATTTATACCTGTATATTTGTTATATGCCGGCGGTGATCCTAAAATGATATTGAACAACATTATCTTACAAGCTTGATTGTGAATATTAGAAATGGTACTCGAGAAAGTCTCGTTGAAGAGTCGCGATGTATAATATTTTCAAAATGCAAACATAGCAATTTGTAATACAAAGTTGATTTTATCATTCCAAGAAGGATATTTAAAATTCCACTATCAGACAAGATCTAGTTGGATGGATTATTATTACTTTTTCAGATTCTAAGGAAAACCTACTAGATCATTTAAAATTGCTTTTATCTTTATGAACTAAAGTACGTGTGTAAATCGTTTAGATAGATATTTTTATTTAACGATTATGAGTTTAAAATTATTAGATTATGAAATTAGTATTTATTTCATACTCATTATCATAATTGCGTTAATAATCTATCATAAAGATGTTAACACAACATATTATTCAAATGCTTATCAGCATCTTGGTTGAAATTTTCTGTTGTTAAATCAAGATCGACAACCACTTTATAAATTGCCAAGAGTATCGTAACTAATTATTGCTGTAAAATAAATATTTGATAAGATCAAACTATGTCCTATTGGCAAGAAGAACCTCAAGAAATGGAAGCATACTGATGTTATAAAATTTTTACAAGAAAAAGAATATTTTGGCTTCGATGAGGTAGTGTCTTTGAAAAACTTGAAGAAAAAACTCTTTGAATACTTCACATTTCCCGATGGAACGGAAAATGAACACATTATTATAAAACCGTGTGTCGGGTGATCTTCCTTTAAAGAGAAAAATTTCAAGTCCACGTAGTATCAAAGCAAAATCCGAGGCCTCAACTGAATCTGGCTCGCACAGTGATACAATAGAACGAAAGCATATTCATTTTTTTCTGCTGGCGAAGATTTAATAAGCATTGTATGGACTGCTAGCCCCAAGGTGGATTTGACAATCATTGTAGATACACATAAGTGTTTATAATCTTGGTATTTGCCTTGAAAATAACATTGTAATTTAATTACTATGTAGCATAAAGCAGTGTTGGTAATTTGACAATTTTTACACAAATTTTCTTGTCATAAATTGTCATAAAAATGTCATTTTGCTAACTCAATAATAATTAAAACTCTTCATTTTGCCAACACCGGCATAAGCCATTTCAAGGCAAGGATCCCATATATTTATACCAGGTTCAACAAAGACTTATTTCTGGTTCGCTAAACATCTACGTTCTATATAAATAGCGCAACAACCATTCTTGCCGTATACTTTTTCAAAGATGAGGGATCTTTTTGATTTGAAAACTGATAGCTATAACCAATTACCACAATTTAAGGGAGGTATTTTGATGATATTTGAATAACACGATTAATGAAATTCTGAAATTACATAAAGAATCCCTACTTGTCAACATTGCAAACGCGGCCACTCGTCGCGAACTTATTTCACGCATTATTTATGATGTTGGATCAATATATAATGGCAATGTAAAGATTTATTCTCAGTACGAGGTCTCTGGAAGTCATGGAAAGGGACCTATCGATTGGGTAATTAAAGTAGAAGATACTGTGACTGAGGCGAAAAAGGAAGATATTAACCCAGGCGTTGCCCAAAAGTGCTGTTCATATGACAAAAAACGTAATCATTATGAGGCTGACTTATACGAGGATGTAATATATTGCATCGTCTCAACTGGTGAGGCTCGTAAAATTAACCTTGAAAGTATTTAAACAAAGGAATTAGTGAATATCGACATTAAAAATATTTTTAACATCAGACGTCGATTGGGTAATAACAAAGATCGTAGTAGTGACGGGAACAGAAATGGGATCAGTGAGGATGGAAAGGTTGAGGTTTTTTTGTGTTCGCCGACGCCAAAGCCACCAGGGATGGTAAATGACTTGAAATGACCCAAATGACTCAAATGACAAATGACTAGTCATTGGTCATTTCAAAACCCAAATGACATGAGGTCATTTATCTTTTGTTAATTGATAATTTAATGCCATTTAGCCAATCAAAATTGATTATTAGGCAAAATTAATTTTTATAAAATATGATCGATAATATTAAAGTAAATGTTACGTCTTACCTATTGTCGCGTAATAACGCGCAGGTGCGTTATTTAGAAACATGGCCCGAATTAAGCTTAATTTAGGCCGAAATTCCCAATTTAACCCCTGCGCGTTATTACGTGACAATACGGGTAAGTAAAATTTTTCAGAACAAATTGCATATATGTTTTACGTTTGCATAAAAAAAATTTAAATTTATTCGTGTAAACATAAAAATGACTTAATAAAATGTGATTAAATTATATTTTGTTCTTCTGAACAAGTTTACTTAAGACGAATTATCGATTAACTTTGAAAGATTTTGACTTTTATATGTAGCTACGATCATCGATAGTGAAATAATATAGTTTGATAATTTTTTATATTAGATATCTGACCAATAAAATTATTTCATATATAAATGACCTAAATAACCTAATGACCCAAATGACTCTGGTCATTATTTAATGACTAGAGGTCATTTAAATTTTGATCAAATGACCAGGCATTTACCATCCCTGAAAGCCACATTAACCTATGACGATTTGGTCGGACCAGTTGAGAACTTATTCGTGCAAATTAAGAGCAGATGAATCGCAAAAACGATAATAATTAGTAACTTAACCACATAGAATAAATTGTGCAGATAAAATAGCAATTTTATTTTTGTACTGGCTTAATAAATTTTTAATAAACTACTCATATGGAAACTAAAAATAGTGAATTATTACTGCTGACTTAATATTTTAAGATTGTTTATAAAGCGAAAATAATTTTTGGTAAAGCAATAATTATGCTATAACTATAGTTGTTAGGCGAAACTGTTTTACAAAAATGGTGAAAGACGAAACCTAAACCCAAAAAAGGCGAAACTGACGAAACTCTGGCGAAACCTCTGGCGAAGGACGAAACCCCTGGTGAAAGGCGAAACCTCTGGCGAAAGATGAAACCTCTGATGAATGGTGAACTAATGAAGATGAAACCCTGGTGAAAACAAAACGACTAGTATCTGAAGTTTTAATAAAAGCGAAGCTAAAGGAGATAATAATAATTTCATTAGATATATATTGTTTTGAAAGGTCAAATAGTTAGTTCTTTAAACTCTGAATGAAGACATCTCAGCAACTATCTAATTTTTTTTTTTTTTTTTTTTTTTTTTTTTAAACAACGAGGTCTATTCTCTAACTCTTTATTTAATTCAAATAAAATAATACAAGCAGTATTACATGTATACAATTAAAAGAAAGAAGGGAAGGTAGGGGTAAGAGCTAATTTACTTTCGACCTAGGCTGTACTAGCAAGGTCGTAGATCACTAGTCTTTGTATATTAATATAAGAAAGTTTCATCTAGTATTTGTATATTGTTGTAATTTTTATATAATATGTGAATGAGAAAGCAGAATAGTGGTAGAAGGAGGTGTTATTATAAGTGGTGCTGGAGTAGGATGTTTTACTGTATGAGTAATTTGGTGAGAAGGTAGCCAGATTTCATGATATATTGATTTTATAATCAGATAGTGAATTAGAAGTGCAAATTTAATTTTGTCTGAATATTTGTTGAATGGGGCTAAAGTTGCAGAAGTAATTATTCTTAGAGGAACTTCTTGTTGAATTTGGAGATATTTGAATGCTGAAATAAATTCAAGAGTGTTTGTTACTGTTAGATCCAGTTTCTGAGATATTATTAATATAGTATCTCAAATGAGAGAGTCTATTGATGTTGAGTTTCAGATGCAGGAAATTAAGTGTGTATTGTTTTTAGGTTCTTTAGAGCACCAGGAACAAAGATAGTTTTTGTATTTTAATAGATTTTGATAATGTAAAGTGAGATGATTAGGAAGTTCTTCTGCTAGTAATTTGATCTTAAAATTTTTTAGTTTAGAGTATGCAAGGTTAGTTTGTAGAGATAGTAGCTTTTCTTCAAATGATAAGTATATTAGTATACTAGGCTATTAGATATCTCTGATTTTAATAGTTTAATATTTGATTCGATTTTGGTTTGCCCATTTTAGACAATTGATAATTCTAAGGTTATATTTTGTAATAGTACAAAGATGGTATGTGCAAGGAAATAATAGTAGGTATAGAATGAATCTGTTGAATAGGAATTCTTGAGGTTTAATATTGAGCTTCATAAGATTATCAGCTTTCCTGTATGTTTGAATTCTTTGTCAATATTAAAAGAGAAATTGAGTGAAAATATTATCATCTTAATTGTAAGCAGAATAAAAGCATAGTGTGATTTGTCTAGTGATGCTAGTGTATGTATCTGTAGCTTTGCAGTATTCTCTAATATTTGAATAAAAGAAGAATTATTTGAAGTAATTGAAATATTTGTATTTGGAAGGAATGTTGTTGCTAGAAAAGCAAATAAGGTGAGGCAAACTTAAGAGCTATTAGGCTAGCTACTATTATAACAGCCCTATGTTGTTGTATTGTAGTTAAGTAAAGCAATTGCTATTAGTTTGTTATTACAGTACGGTGAATGAGGAGATGAAAATATGTAGATTAAGGAGGTACATGTAGAGGAATTGTTTGCTGACAGAATATTCTATCAGTTGATATTAAATGAGGAAAATGTATTTAGTGGATGACTAAGTTTAGTAAGAGGCAATAGTATTTTCTTTTCAGTTGTAATAGTGTTTAGTTTAACTAATATTAGATTATTGAAGTTAGCATGTAGTCTTTTGTGTGAGTCTACTTGTACAGTATAGAGTTTTTCAATTTTGTGTTTAAAGTAGTATCCTTTTGTTTTAGATATTAGATCTTTTTTTGTATATCCTGAATATGGAATAAGTATATTATTAATTAAATGAGTATAGTAGTGAATAGTCACATAGTAGTTATCGAAGTGATTAGTACATTCTAGTAGGAAGTCATGAGTGAGGACCCAAGATTTTTTCTTAGATACCCATTTTATTAAGATGAATAGATTAGAATAAACAAATAAAGTTGTAGAGTTTGCTGTTGATCTAATGAGTTCTTGTATTTCTATGAACTACTTTAGTATTTGTTCTCTTGGTATCTTGAGTATATTGTAGTGAAAGTCTTGCTAATTAAAAAGTTCTGAATTATTATAGTTAAGAAACTGTTCAATATAGTATATAGAATGCTTATTCAGCTGTTGTTTCAATATATATACCTGAAGATAGTTTGTTAATATTTCATTAATAGGTATGCCTTTGGTTTTAAGAGGAATTAGCTAGTTTATTTCTTCATTCTTTAAGAACTGGATATGCAGAGAGTGAATCACAAGGATTAATTATCCTGTATAGGTATTTTTTTGTTTTTTTGATAATAATAGAAGGTATATAAGTATCAAAAGATTTGATGCAGTAGAGTCTTGTAGTTGTTATAATCGAATTTTAAAGAATGAAAAATCAAAGTTTGGGTGATTTAAATTCTATAAGAGTGTAGTAGATAGGTATGATTCTTGAACTTATATTATGTCTTTTAATGTGTAGATCTCTAGATAGTGAAAAAAGGAGTTGGGGAGGCCACAAGATAGTCTTGCTTTTTGTTTCACTATATTTGTATTTAAACGATTAAGTATAACTAGTTATGAAGTTGAAAAAAAAGAACTGTTAAGTCGATATGAGATCCAAGGTATTATGACATTATTGATAATATATATTGCTTGTTTTTCAGTAATATATAATTTTTGTAATTTGGTAATGCAAAAATTAGCTTCAGAGATTATTATTTTTTGGTTGTTTGTTGGATTAGAAATAAAAGAGAACCAAGCTCCCAAGTATTTAAATAGTTTGAATTTGTTAATCGTACTTATGTTTTCTTCATTAAAAGTAATATTTTTGTTTTCTGAAGTAGAGTTTGTGGCAAGTATTGATTTTGATAGATTTACTTTGATTCTAGCAAATTTATAGAAAGAATTTGCTATCAAGAGGATCTTTTGAAGAGAATTCTTTGAGGATACTATCTAGAGTGAGTTATCCATATATGCTATAATTGAAGTATGTATTAGTTTTGTTATAGACATTAATAGGATTATTCCTTGGTATTCTAGATATTCATTATGTATACAAAATATTAGTGGGTCATAGTAAATCTTCTATAGAAGTAGTGAAAAGGTTTCTCCTTGATCAATTCTGTCATGTACTAGGTATAGTTTAATTAGTTTGAAGTTTATAATTACTTGATTAGTACAATTGGAAAGTAAGAATATTAAAAGATTGACTATAGATTTAGGGATTTGGATTCTGTATAAGGCCTTGATGAGTGTAGGTATGTGAATTGAGTCAAATGCTTTTGACATATCCTGTAGTAAGAGCCAAACTTCTTTTTGTTTCATGTGAATATATTCAATTATAGATGTAAGTTAAGATATTAGTTGAAGAGTTGATTGTTATAGAAATACTGCATAGTTTAGTGAAGAGAGGATGTTAAATTTGTCAAGAATGTTTAATAGCCTATTAGTGATGATTTTAGTAAATATTTTCCTAGTATAATTAATTAGTGTAATAGGTCTTGTTGTATTTAGTTCGAATATATATTGTATTTTTTTTGGAATAGGCCATATGTTTGAATTTAGCTATTGTTTAGGGAGTTGTTCAAATAAGAAACATACATTAAATATCTTAAGAAGGTATATAAGTGCTGATGAAAGAAGATGTTGAAGCATTTTATTAGAGATCATTAGAGGTCCAGTTACTTTGTATTTCAGTGTATCTCTTATTGTAGAGAGAAGTTCTTCTATAGTAATAGTTTGGATTAGTGGATCATATGCACTAGAATTAATTTTCTTTATAGGTATATAATATCTTTCCCATTCTTCTCAGAGAGTATCATTTGTGGGATTTGATTTTGTCTAGTTTTAAAAGTGAGTGCGAGTTGCTTCTTTGATTTGTTGAGGTTCTGTAATTACTGAATCATAAGTTATTATCTTTTCAAAGCTTATATAGTCTTGTTGTTGTTTTAATATACTATTAATCATTTAGCTTATATTATCTTTAAAGTCTGTGTATCTACAGTATACATAGTATTTGATTCGTTCTAATTGTTTGAGATTCTTTTCTACATTTCTACTTTTCCAGATTGTATTTTTAAGATTTTTGATTGTTGTTTTTGTATAATGATAGAAGGAGTATTATGTATTATCCATAGTTTTAGAACCTAGTGATTGTTAGTTTAGAGTTAAATCTGGAAGTTCTGCTAAGGAAGTTGCTTTAACAAGGTGTTTATTTAGAACAGTACAAAGGAATTTTGTAGAGAAAGGAGGTAGACTAGAAGTTAGAATATGATAACATTTATTAATATGCTTTAAGGCAAAGTGAAGTTTTGATACTTTTAAAGAAAGTGCAAAGTATTGTTTAGGTGTAGTATATGTAATTGGAATCAGTTGATTAGCAACTTTAGTAATATTAGAAGACTAGATATTTTAATAGTTGTTTAGCAATTTGATATCAGAGATTGTTTTGTCTTTTAATAATAGCATTAGTATTTGATGAATTTTGTTAGAAAATTCTTTCTAGTTTTCCTTTGTCATTTTGTTATATAGATATATTTTCTGTTTTTTCTTCTTGTTTCTTATTCTTGATAGTATAAAATTTGTATTCCAAGTCATTGACATGATTATATGATCACTTTTAGTAATTCCTGTAGCTTTAGTAAAAATTGGAGTTTTAATATCTAATAAAATATCAGGTGAAACCCATATATCATCTATCTAAGAGTGAGAATTATTTTGGTGCCAGGTAGGAGTTGAAATGTTGTAGAAGTTGAGCAGACTAGTGAAGTTATTTGTTGAGAGATCTGTGAAAATTATATTCTTCATTCTTTTTTTAGTGAAACTATTTGAGTTAAAGTCACCTAGTATAATAGTGTGCCAGTTTTTGTTTTTTGCTTCTATAGACCAAAGTGCTACTTGAGTTTGAGTTCAGTTTGATAGATCAGGGTTATTTGATAGAAGGTATACTGAGATTATACAAGTTTTGTTGTTTGGAAAGAAAAAGTCTAAACAGAGAGCTATCTCTGAGAAGGTGATAATATTGTGTATATATGGTTGTACTATATTATGTACTATCAGTGCTGTTCCGAGGCTTAAGTCTTACTGTTAATTTGATACTAGAGTATAGTTGGAGGTAAAGATTTTGTAGATGAGGTTAGTTAGTGATAGTTGGGAGAATTCTTTTAGTTTCGTTTTGGTAATAGAGATAATATGAAGATTATTTTGCAGACAGTATATTATCTATTATTAGTATTTAATTTGGTTATTGAATCCTCTGATATTGTGAGTTGCGAAGTTAATTTTTTTTTTAATATTTGGAATATTATCTGTTATTGTATTTTGATGAGATATATTAGTTGTTTGATACATGTTTTGTTGGTGACTTGTTAATGATAAATTATTAGTAGAAATTGAGTATGAGTTGGAGTTTTCTGCTATAGTTCTATTGTTTATTGTTGTTTGTGTTAGAAGTTATTTCTATATTTTCATCAATATGTTTGATATTGTTAATTGGTGTAGTGAAAATATTTTAAGTTGGTTCTGAGAGATCTAGAAGGTTAAAGATATATATTAGGATATTAACGTATATGAAATTTTCACTAATTAGTTTTATTGCATCTCCTACTTTTTTATGATCAGTAATAGGAAATACAAGCTTGTTATTAGAAATCTTTGAAACAAGCAGGTTATTAAATTAGTTAATTGTTAATAGTAGTATGGTAGAAGTATTATCTTTAGATTTATTATCTTTGTTTTTATTTTTTTTGATATTGATCTAGCTATCTAAGATGTTTTGGAAGTAGTAGTATACTCAAAGGTCTTTGACTGCAATTGATAATTGTTAGAGAGTTGTGATAGGAATAGTAAGGTTTACTAATTCCATCTGTCTGTAGTCCTATGGTAAGTCAGGCTTTTCTGTAGAATTGATAGATATGTAGGCTGGTGAAAATGCTACTGGAATTGCATATGTTAGAGAAATTTCATTTATGAATGCATATACTGTGTATTTGTCATCTATAGGAAATTAGTATTTATTTTGTAGTTGTAACTTGTTTGGATCTACAGATAAGTAATACTTTTGAATAATGAAGTTGTTTAGCAATCAGTTGAATAAGTAACTTTCTTTTAGTAATTTTATATAACTTTTGAAGTCTTCTGCATCACATAGTAGAAATAGGAATATCTCATATAGACATAGTGTGAGTTTTTGTAGAGTACAAGAGAGTCATGGTTTAGGCCTAAGTAGTTCAAAGTATGTATTGGATATTCTTTTGAATATGTAGAGAGTTTGGAGTTTAGCTTTATATTAAGATAAATTCTTAAGCTCTAGATGTGTAATGATAGGGAATAGGTCTCTAATTAATTTGTGCAATCCTCATAGTGTGTCTAGAAGAGGAGAGTAGTTATTATCAAAGTATGAGTTAGGAAAGTTAGTAAATTTGAAGATGTATCGCAGAGTGCAGGCTATTGAACTAGTTTGTCTTTTGTCTTTTATAGGGAGTTGGAATGGTAGTACTGTATTTCTTGTATTTCTTGGTTTATTTGGTCTGAACTATCTAGAAGATCTTGTAGCTTTTCTGATTTTGTTTCTTTAATAATCTTATTGATTTTTTCAAATTTTAGTATTAT